AAGATGCAAATCATCTCATTTTAATTAGGACCCACCCAGTATCTGGGGAAGTGGCCAATTCCACATAATATTTTTTGTGGATGCTCTTCCCAGGAAAGAAGGAGAATGGAAGCAGCAAATATGAGGTGTCCCCTGTCATCTTACCCTTTGGCCATCTAATAGTAAAGGACTTCCCTCTCTTCCTCAGCATGGGCAATTTCAGTAATGACGACTCATTACTCTGAGAGTTCTTTCATTTTCTCTGTCCCTGGTCTTCTGCTTATATGAAGCAGGGTGGGTGGTGCTTGGTGCAGGCCCATTTCTACCCTACTTAGTATGTCCTGGAGCAATCATGTAGCTTCATTTTTTGGAAGTTACTTTGGCACCACAAATTGCTGAATGTCTGTTTAGCCTCAGATTTGGGCAATAGTCATTTATAAGGCAACAGGAAATACACAAGTCAGCATTTAAAAACAGAATAATTCAGGGTGGTGGAAGACTAACAGTTTCTAACCTAGACAGCAAAGGAGAAGAAATGTCCATCACATACAAAGTGTTAGTATTCTTTATATATCAAGAAAAAAAAAAATCCACAGGAAAAAGACAAACATGTTATAATGAAAACATGTTTTTCCTGACCAGCATCTATTCTACATCCTTCCTAATGCCATAACCCCATAGTTCCTCTGGGAAGCCACTCTTCCCTGTAATTCTTACGCTATACATTTATGTGAAATTCATCCAAACTACAATCTAAGAATTTGGCTTTATTTGCTTAAGCAGATCGATGAAACCCATCCCCATAGCCACAGCAATCGATTAGGTATTGGGTTTCTGACCTAAGTCGGTCAAATCTATTTTTTTCAATGGGGACACAGCCTCTCTCTACCTTGAAGAAAATGAACAAGGAATCATGTAACACTGTAAGGTACCAGCAGCCATCCTGGGACTCTCACATGGAAAGGGCATCAGAAAGAGAAGAAAATAGGGCCTGTGTGATGTCACAGGGCCTTGCCCAGAGCCAGAGCCACCCCCATGCCCTTTGGTCTTGTATCCACAAGTTTCGTTTATTCAAGCTTCTTTGAGTTAGATTTGTTTGCTTGCTTTTTTTTAATCTTTGAAACTACCAGCAGCCCGAGGAATACTGAGTCCTGTATCTGTGCAGAGGTACAGGGTCTCTTAAAAGTAACAGCCCCTGACTGAAGTATGGGATTGGCAGAACTGAAAAAGTAGGAGGCAGTTTGGTGAGGGCTTTGTTAAATGGAAGTTGTTTTTAAACTTTGTTGTGCATAAGAATTACCTGGAGATTTGTTAAAATACAAATTACTGTGCCCCACCTTCTAAAAGTGAAGAGGAGGGCTCATAATTTGCATTTCTAATGAGCTCCCAGGTGTTGCTGTACTGTCATCTGGGCACCACCTTTTGAGAACTGCTCTTGCATGGCATTGCCGCACTGTTGGTTGAACTGTGGTCTGTCGAATGTCAGTGCTAAGACCCTGTGCCAGATACTAAGGCTGCAACATTGAGGAATTTGATAGGTAAGATTCTGATATTGGAATATAATAGCTACTTCTTGCATCTATGAGTAAGATCCCTTAAATGAGTTTAGACTGCTTTGAAATGGGCTCTTCCAAAACTGGAAAAGGAAAAAAATTGGCTTTGCTAAGAAAGGCCTTTCTAACGTGTTGACTGTTTCCAATAATCATGAATCTAGAAGGGCTGTAAATGCGGAAATTTCTACTCCAGGCTAAAGTTAGTGACAGCAGGAAGGTGAGAGACTTAATAGGAGAGAAATCTGGGGTCCAGCTGTGGCCCTAAATCCTGCTCCCCACCCTCTCTTGTGAAATATTTGTCATCCTTACTTAAAATGGACAATCAGCTCCTTGTGAAGGTGTTGGGAGGATGCGGCTTTGTGTTGGGCCTCAAATATTTATCATTTCCCCATGTTGCCCCACCTCTGCAGGGGCCAAGATGGACGCAGAAGTCTCTCAGCAGAGGGCTGGGAGGTAGGGGTATAAGTGTGAGTGTAGTATTGAGACTCAATACCACACATTCCCAACCCCAGTTAAAATGTAAGATAAAGGATTGGACAAGCACTCTGCATTTGGTTCTCTAGCTCATGGAATTGACTAGAAGCAAAGAGATCAGAAACCTACTATTATTAAAAGGCTTCTCATTGCCAAAGAAACCATAAGACTAGCCCCAAATGACCGTTGATTGCTCAACACCTAAGGCGAATCTCAGGCTTCTAATTTATACGGACAGGAAGTAGGCAGCTCCCAGAAAAGGGCTCTTCCCCAGCACACATATGTGTCCACGGAGGACGTTCCCCAGGAAGGTTAACCAGAGAAGCTGACCCAGAATCTCATGCATGTCTCAGACCTTGCAAGGCCCTATAAACTGGTTAACAGTGCAATCCTCATTCCCCCTTCCCTCACAGAGGTCTTCGTTCTATTACTCTGTTCACAATACTTGTATTTAGGGAATGTTGAGCTGATTAAGCTTCTCATTTGGCTTTGGGTTGCTGGGCCTCGAGAAAAAGGTCAATGTAAATGAGCAGATTTGTTTGTCCCAAGATGCTGGAAGCCAACAGAGGAGAAATGGCAACACTTTCCCTGCGTTTTTGGAGACAAAGACTGTTCCTCCCGTTCTCCTGACAATGCCTTCACACTTACCACAGGTGTGGGTGGTAATGGTGTTAGGGGAATAGCCCCTCATAATGGAAGGGGATGATTATATGTTGCGTGGAAGATGCGTGTGTGTGTGTGTGTGTGTGTGTGTGTGTGTGTGTGTGTGTGTGTGATGTGAAAGCCTTGGGCAAAAAGACTAGTTTATTGCACTGCCTTCATTATATAAAAGCCATTATGGCATCAAGACTGTTATGACTGGCCCAGCTGAGCTCTATCTTCTCTGTGTCAACTTAGAATCCTAATAGAAAATCGTTCTGCTGGGTAGAATATCATCCATCAAAGGGTAGGGTAAGATAAGACCAGAGAGTTAAGCAATACCTACTCACTAAGAAATAAATTGACTAAAAAGGAACTGAACAAAATAAAAATGAAAAGTATCCATTCCTAAAAAAGTAATATATTAATCTCATTTCCTCTAAGAAACCGCAGTTAGCTATTTACCTTTCCAAATATTTGCAAATATCTATATTAATATGACTTTAAAAAATAAAAACAAAAATAATATCATTTTATACATACAGTTCTATAGCATACATGTAAGAGTATATATGCATATAGTAGATGTAAACAGATATACCTTTTGCACATAATATTATGGACACTTTCTATAAATATTATAGACATGTATTCTTTTTATTGACTGCAAAATATTCCATTGGTGGGCATCTCAATCCTCTACCAATTTAATCCTTTACTGATGGTCGTTTCCATTTTGCTGTTTAAAATCACGCTGCGAAGAATATCCTTGTGCCTATATATTTCTGTCCTTTGGTAGTGTCAGTGCAAAATAGATTCCTAGAAATGGAAATCAGGTCGAATGATATCTAGGTCAAATAATAAAAGTGCATTTTAATGTTTGCTTAATAGGAGTGTTTAATTGTACTGGAAAGAGTTCAATCACTAAAATTCTAAACTAATTTTGGGTATAAAAATTATTTTATTTTTTATTTTTTAATTAAATTTATTGGGATGACATTGGTTAAATATCATAATTACATAGGTTCCAAGTGTACAATGTAATAATACATTATCTGTATGTGCATTGTGTGTTCACTACCCAAAGTCAAATCTCCTTCCGTCACCATTTACTTGACCCCCTTTACCCTCATCTATCTCCCACCTCTCAGCCCTTTCCCTCTGGTAACCACTAAACTGTTGTCTGTGTCTATGAGTTTTTATTTGTTTGTCTTGTTCATTTGTTGCTTTCTGTTTTATAACCCACATATATGTGAAATCATGTGGTTCTCATCTTTTTCTGTCTGACTTACTTCACTTAGCATGAAATTAGATTATCTTAAACAAAATGAAACAAAATCGTGACTCATAAAATTTTATACATGTTTTGGTTTTCACATGTCTTTTGAATTTCTCCTTCTTTGGCAAAAAGGACCCTGGCTTAGTGTACATTTCTTATAACTCTAACTCAGGCAATCCATCTGTTAAATAACTCAGCTTTCTCAGGAAACTTATTATGTAGAATCCTCCTCCGCATGTAGGCTGGTTGTCTTTCCCTTTCACATTAGTCATTTATTTTGTGGAGCATGGGTTTAAGGAAAATAATGTGCAATATACCTATTACCAAATGCAGATATGTGCTGCATTTGGAAAGAATGGTAAATCCTGTTGACTATTTCAGTGGTTCTCTCAGCTGTTAACATGCATGTTGAAAACCTGATAGGCTTGGTACAAATATCAATTCTCAGGTTCACACCTAAAAATTCTGATGTGAGTGGCTTAAACAATCATTGCTTGCGATTTGAGTACAGGTACATTGCCTTTTGAGAAATAACTTGACCAGCGGTCAAGCATAACGTATAGTTATATCAAAATCCAGTTTTGCAACTTAATTGTATCATTTACTTGCTGATCTTGGCTAAGCTGCTTAACTTCTCTGAGTGCCAGCCCCAGTCTACACTTCTGTCAGATGAGGATATTAATAGTACTTAAGCTATACTGTCTCATTGTGAGGATCAAGTGGACACTGCCTAAAAAAGTACTCCGCCTAGAGTAAGTCTCAAATATGTTAGTAATTCTTATTAAGAAAGCTCGATTAATCATAAATATATACTACGGATATTGTTCTTAACGTTATCCATTCTAGTAGTGAATTTTCCTAGAGTGTGTACATTATGATTTGATTTTTAAGATATTCATAATTTCAATGTTCTGGCAATGGGGCTCCAGTGTAAAGCAGAGTATCTCTGTGGTAGCCCCCCTTCCATCTCTCCTAATTTCTCTCCATTTCACATCTTCCTATTCTTTGCCTGTTATATTCCTTTCAACCAATGATCCTGATTTGCCAGATAAATGAAACCAAAATGAAACCAATGCCAGTTTACTTTTTAAAAGAGCATCTTTATTATTTCTCTGGGCTGAGCGCAGCACTGAACAGAAAGATTTAATACATATTTGTCAGTCTGGTGGCTTTGGTGCCACCTCTGTCTAGAACAAACTGATGACAGTTCCTTAATTGTCACCAATCACAGTGCAAATGAAAGAGGAGGGGAAGGGTGCTGAAGGAGGTATCCTGAGATCTCTTGGAGCAAAGAGTTCCAAACACAGAGTGACATTCTAAATAAATTACGAAAATTAAATAGTATAAATAAATATACATTTAAGTTAGGAAGAGTCCCAGAGTATGGGTTGGCGACAGCCTGCCCATAGGAGAGGTAGCTGTGGAGGTTACAAGGGTGTTTCCAAGGCTCAGGCCCCTGCTCCCCATCGGCCCGCCAAGGTCACCAGGTTCCTTCCAGGCCACTCAGGCGTTCAGCTCAAGATCACTGACGTATTCCTGGACCCAGGCCTCACTGGGGTCAGCACAAACCTGCCGGCCTCTTCTGGTTTGGAAGCTATGGAGAAAGTGGAAGGATTACACATTGAGGAATCCAGCAGGGAGAACTGGGACCACCCTGACCCCTCCACCCCACTCTTTTATCCTGGGCAGTCCAGGGCCCTGCCCACTTTCTCGGAGATCCTCTGCCTATCTCAGTCTAGGCAGCTGCTCTCACTGACTCAGGGGCTCCCTCAGAGGATCCTGCTGCTGACTCCTTCCTCTCACTTCCCTCTAGGCTGGGCCAGCCCTCCCTGACTCTGAAAGCTCCTGGCCAGGTCAGGTCACACCTCAGAGACCTGGGTCCTACATACTTGATAAGACATCCTAGAGGACAGGGCCTTTCAGAATGGTGCCTCTGGTCTGTCTGTGCCCTTGGGCACTGCCCCCACTCCACACACTTTCTGCCTCTCCAGAGGTGGGCAGGAAGACTGGCACTTACATGACACCGGGCTTGGAGCACTGGCTGCTGGTCTCAAAATAGTCGGCTATAAATTTGCGTGGAAACTGCCGGGAGATATAGGAGAAGCAGCAGGAAGTCGGTGTGTCCGCGCCATCTGTAGAGGAAGGGACAGAATGAGCCTGAGTCATAGTTCAGAATGAAAGGCGAGATCTGAGATCTAGTCCCCGAGAGGGTGAGGAAGACAGGGAGGAAGACAGCCTTGCTCACAGCGTGGGCTGGGAGACAAGGTCACTAGAGGGCCTTAGGTGTTTTTGCCTAGAAATATCCCTGTCTCTGTCCTTGTTACTGTCTGTATCCTTCTTTCTCTTTGACTTCATTGTGGGCGGTCTTTGCCTTTGTAATGCAGACATCCAAGCAGACTGTTCTCATCTCCCTTCAGGAAATTTTATCTGGTTCAAGAAGCCATACCCCAACAAAAGGGAAACCTTGGACATCTCTCCTAAGATATCCCACGGACAGAGTTCTTGGAGGGACCTGGGTTGAGTAAGTGGAAGAATGACACCACTGGAAGGCAAGCAGACTTGGATTCTGCCTCTTACAAACTCATTTGCTTAGGTCCCTATTTTACCATTTGTAAATGGAATTGTTACTCCCCTACCCAACTTTGGCTCTCAGATATGGGGACTAGCCTAGCTAATACTCTTTTATGAGATGAAAATAAAAGTCTTGCAGAAAAAAGCAAAGATCTTTTGTAATGCTTTAGGAAATTCTCTATTTTCTCTTAGGGGCTCTTAAGACCACAAGAAAAGATGGATGTGGTCTGACCATGGCCAGAGAGGGGTGATACCCACAGCAACAACACAGACTCACATGGCGCAGAGAAGACCTGGCTGCAGAGGGCCATGGTGCAGAGAAGAACGGCGAGGGCAGCCCCGGAGACCTTCATGATGCTGAGCGGGTGGAGTGTGGGCTTGAGCGTCAAGAGAGCAGAGATGAGAGTGAGCTCTTGCTGCTGGCTGCGTCCTTCTGGAGTGCGAAGCCATCTCCCCTGATCTTTATAGGCGGACTTCGCGGATGAGGAAATGGAATCTGGGGGTGAGGAGGGAAATTTTTAAGCATGGTGGTACTGTCATGCTGGATGTTGCACAACTCAAGGTCCCGGGCAACCACAGGGGCTCAGGATATCCAAGAATAGCTTTTCTGAGCTATAAGTTTCAGCCCACAACTCGTGACTTGTTCTGGTTTCTTGTGAGGAAATGGTTTCCTCTGAGAGCAGGAGAGAGAAGAGTGTGTGTTGACCTGGGGCTATTCTTAGCTGGTCCCTTTCCATAGTAACTGATCTATACGTGAACTGTCCAGCTCCATCTTTTCCACAGAGCTGAAACTCCTGTGCCTCCTCAGCTGCTCTAACCACATGGAGAGGGTAGATGTGATGATGCCACAGAGAGTGGATTAGCCTCCCTTGCGTGCAAGAGAGGAATCCCCGCGAGAGGACTAGGAAGCATGAGGTCATGTTTCTGTCATTTGTTCATTCATCAAACAGTCACTGAATGACTAAGGTCACTGGGTTAAACACCAGTTGAGAATCATAAAGATCCATTAGATGTAGGTGTTCATGTTTCAGGAGCCTAAAAATATTTATGCTCATGAACCTAAGAACACATTTTTAGGGAAGAGTTCTGAAGAAACAAACCCAAATATGGAAGCATCTTCAAACATAAAGACATCTGACCCCACATCATTTGTACCTCTAAAATAAGGACACCTAAAATTTCCTTTATCAGGGAATGATAAATTTCCTTTATCAGGGAATGATAAATGGACTTTTTATTATCAAACCCTTAAACTGAAGTGAAGTAGCATAAATATAATCATAAGATCAGTTGTAAAAAAGTGAGATGAAAAATTGTACAAATTGTACAAGATGAAGAATTGTACAAATATATATGTACACACATATATGACAAATATTATGACCATATATGTATTTTATATATATATATAAATGCTGGGCATGGAAAAAATAAAAAGCATTGGAAATGAATGCCCGAAAGCATCAACAGTACTTATATATGTGTGATAGATCTATGAGTGCTTAATTTTCTTGTTTTCCTCTTTTTTCTGGAGTATTCTCACTTTTTTTAAAAAAAGTGAGAATGTATCACCTTCCTTGTCAGCCCACAGATACACAAACACATTTTGTTTTGAAACATTTACAACATTGGTTGGAAGTAGGTTGTTAATTATTTAATTTTAATTTGAAAGAAATTTTTGAGAAATATACTGAAGTTTTTGTCCAATGGTCTTTGCTAGAATGGAGACTTGATTTCCATTTCTCTGACCTATTTTAAGGAACTCATATGATTACATAAATAATGCCACATTCAAAGCAGTTTTCTTTTCTTCTTCTTTTCATTCATAATTTCAGTGGTGTGAAAGGGTTTACTTTCTCAATGAGATCTGTATTTTATCCTTTTCCATTCTTTATTATTTTATTGTTACATAATCAATAAGCATAGATCACATTTTATATTGAAAAGTAGATTTAGTTCTTTTTGATGGTCTGTCTTCTAGATGTTCCTCGTCTAGTAGGGGCAGGTAAAGTATATAAATGGGTAACCACAGCACTTAGCAGAAAGTGCAAAGATTTCTAGGAGAAAAATAAATGAAAGCTCAGAACACCAGGAGGAGGGAGCAATGATCTCTCTCGGGCAGGTTGAGGAAGGCTTCATGGAAGGGACGGAACTTTGATTGGGTCTTGAAAGCTACATGGGATTGGCACATACACAGATGGGGTGGTAGTAGAGGTCCAGCTGGTGCAGAGTCATAGGTGTGAAACTGCTATCTCAGCAGGAGTGAACAGTTCAGTGTAGCTGCAGATGGATGGAGCAAATATGGATGATGAAACTAAATTGGGGCCAAACCAGGAGAATTTTGAATTTCCCTAGCAGAAGTTAGAACAATGGAGGAAACAAGACATAAGCAAAGTGAGACTACACCTTAAGAATTCTGACCTCCCTGTGTCTATAGAGTTACTTCTCTTAAAACATATGAGCAGTGTTTTATCCCATCCCTATGATTGCTAATGATGGTTGTGAGGGAGGCAAAGCAAAGACAAGATCAGGGGGCACCAGCAGATTTCGCTGAGGCTTTAGCAAGTAGGTGTGTTCCTTTGTTACTGTCAGTTCCTAAAAAGGAGTCTATCACTTGTTTTACTGGAAACTCTAGATCACAAATGGTGCCTCCTCCTCACCCCACCTCCTCTGCCTCAGCTATCAGTTGATACCCTAAGTTGCATTCCCTCCTTTACTTCTTGGGGGGAACCCCCTTTATGATTCAGTTTCTGAAAGCTGTCTTCTGTAAGTTGGAGAGGGCAAGAAGAAGGAAATGGAAACTGCTGAATCAGTAACTTTCTGATAGTGCATCTTATTATCTACCTCTATGGTGACAGCGCTTACCGCATGGTGTTACAATGAGCTATTTCTCTAATTTTCTCTTCAAAAAATTTAGACCATGTCCTGTGGACTTTAAACCAAATTCATATCATGTCTTGCTGATGGATTTAAACCAAATCCTAGCACATGATGATTATGACATAATGAGTTTTATAACATAGTCTCTAGTTTTTATAATTTTATTCTTTTTAAAAAAGGCGATTCATTGAATATAAAATTCTATCATAGTGATTATATATTTGTAAGATTTTCCATACCAATCCTAAAACCAAAAAATAGCCTTTTATCATATGTGTTTTATTTTATTGGAAAAGAACATACTTGTATGCAAAGTGTGTGCTTATTATGCACACATTGAATGAATAATGTTTGGGAGCCTTAGGATGGTTGAATTGGTTTTGAGGGGTCTTAGAAATTTTCTAGGAGGCAAATTGATGTTCCCAGGTAAAATGATTTCTCCAGGATCACACAAATAGAGTTGGTCAGTTTTATATTTCACTGTCTGCATTATCTCCAGCAATAAACACAATGCCTGACACAATAGAGCTTAATAAATATTCAGTGAATCACTGAATATTCACTGTTTTGACATACAGTATGTGCTATGCTCAAAGTCCCACTATGGAGTTGAAATATTAATATTATATAAAGGATCAGAAAGGCCATGGTGTCAAGGTCTTGATCTTTGGGAGCTACCCAAGATCTCTTAGGAGGTGGTGACAGGAAGTCAACATGGTGGATCCATCAGCATGGAGGGGCTTGATTTGTGTCCTAGTTTTCTGGCTCATTCCAGCATCTTTGAGGCCCTACCTCTGTCCAGCAGAGTGTCCCAGCCACGAGCACAGAGAATTCTGGCTGAACAGTTCATGTTCTGTAATATCACAGCCTTTGTCCTGCTCTGCTTACCTCTTCTTTGCTTCCCAAGCCCCGGACCTCCTGGATCGGTTTTCTTCCAGTTTCTGGCCCTGCAATTCCACTTCCCCAGGTGTCAATCTCAATTCCCTCCCTGTGATAACAGTGGTTCCCATGGGTGGGTTCGGCCCAGTTTTGGCCTCCTTTTGTCAGATGTGGCCTTGAGTCAGATTGCAGCAAGCTCAGCCTCCTCTTTCATGGGGGTGGAAACAGTATCCTAGGGACCCCTTTCTGGCATCCTAGAGAGACAAGGTCTCCATGAAGCCCCTTCTCTCTGCTTGTCTATCTTGAGTTCTCGTCATTCCTGTCTGGCCATTGTGTGTTGTGTGTGTGTGTATGCAGTAGATCAAGGTATACATCTTAGTATTGGATTAGATCCTTCCCCCTGCTCCTCTACTCATCCTTCTGTACTCTCTGTTCAGCGAAAAGTGTCCCCTTCCATCCAGCTTCCAAGCAAAAAACTTGAGAGTCACCTTGGCCTGTCCTTCCCCTTCACCTCCTACATCTACAGTGGTCCTTCCTTGTCTGCGGTTTTGCTTTCCTGGGTTTGTTACTGCAGTCAAGCATGGTCAAAATATTAAGTGGAAAATTCAGATATAAATAATTCATAAGTTTTAAATTGTACACTGTCCTGCTCCATCCCACTGGGGACATAAATCATCTCTTGGTCTCCACGCTATATGTGCTACCTGCCAGTTTGTCACTTAGTAGCCATCTCAGTTCTCAGATCACTGTTGGTATCACAGTGCTTGTGTTCAAGTTAACACTTATTTTACTTAATGTTGTCACCAAAACTCAAGAGTAGTGATGCTGGCTATTTGTATATGCCAAAGAGAAGCTGGAAAGTGCCTCCTTTAAGTGAAAAGGTATGTATGTAGTATAGATAAGGTTCAGATTTGAGGTTTTAGGCATCCACTGGGGGTCTTGGAACATATCCCCCACTATTGTATTCAATCTATTGTATTTTGAAATTGTACACTGGGGGTCTTGGAACATATCCCCCACAGATAAGCGTGAGGGACTATTGTATTCAATCTATTGTATTTTGAAATTGTCTATCTGCTTCTTACCATTCCCACTGCCATTGTCTTAGGTCAGGACCATATCACTTCTTACCATGACAGCTGTAACAATGTTCTACCACTGTTTTTTTCTTCCAGTTTGCCTCTCTTCAATCTGTCCCGTCATCGCACAGCATGCAAAGTGATTTTGCTGATCAGTCTCTGTCGCTTTCTGTTGAAAATCCTTCAAGTATTTTGCATTGTTTCCAGCATGAAATGGAAGCTTCTCTGTAACCTGAGCCCTGTCTTCCTCGCTGGCCACATCTCTTGCTACCTTCAGACTTCCTGGAAACCAAGACTCAGCCCTCTGAACTACATGTAATTCCTTAAAAGTGCAGATCTCTTTTCTGCTTTTCATGAATGAGTTGTCAACTTGACAAGGCACAATTTCCCCTTCTTGTAAATCACAAGGAAGAGTGAAATGCTTTAAGCACGAGTACGTCCTATGGCAGCTGCTGAGATTAATATGTAGAACAAATAAGAAAAATCACTATTTAATTCCCTTCATTTTCTAAGGAAAAGAGAGAAATCCATGGATTCCACTGTTCAAACACATGCGAAATGTAAAACGGAAAGACATTTTACATCATAATTACAGAACTTTGGCTGTTAAGCTTTCACACAAATTTATAATAAGCACATTTTCTTCCTTGGTGTCATTTCCAAATCTATCATGTATTAGCTGTGTGTTCTTCCATAGTTACTTACCTCTCTGTGCTTTGGTTTCCTCATGTGTGAAAAGGGATAATAATAGTATCTACCTCAGAGGATTGCTATGGGAATGAAATACATTAGTTTTTATAAAAGTATTTGAATATCAGTGGCTCACAGTAAGTGCTATGTATTAGTTACTGTTATCATTATTATCCAAATATTTCAATTAATCTATTTTATATATTTAAAAAATGCAGGTCCTTTGTTCTTTGCCTGTATAACCCCACCCCATGCTCTTTGCTTGGCTGATCATCTTCAAGTCGCAGCTCAATTTATAATAGAGAAAAGTTAGAATAACCTGAATGGACTGACCTAAGTAACAGAAGGGTTAAATATAAATTTTGGTATAATGTCTTGGTATTTCCATGCAATGAAATATCATGCATGTCAATTTTGAAAAAATTTTTGAGTTCTTAATGACATGGGTAAATATAAAGTAACAATAATAAGATACACTAACAGTATTAAGCAACAATAGTAAAATGCTAAACTAAAGAATGCTGGGTAATTTTTGTTTTCTTATTTATGATTTCCTATATTTTCTAAATTTTGTATGGTGACCATGTATATTTTCTATTGAAAACAAAGCAAACTAGTATAAAGTTTTTTATACTAGTTTTTAGAAGCCTTTCTTAACACTTTACCACCACTTTCCAAGGCATGCATCCCCAATGCCTGACATAGTACCTGTCATATAGTGGGTACTCAATAAAGTTTTGCTGAATTACTTTTCTCTCTTTCTGGATATTTCAGTCTGGAAAGAGCTAGAAAGAGGTGTAAAAGCATTGTTTGAAGGAAGAAAGTTGCTTCATAAAGAATACTGAAGGTTTTCTTGAACTCCAAAGAGCAGACTGTGGTGGGTGATAAAGGCCCTTTCCACTTTAAGAAGAGTGAGGTGGCTGGCTGAGGGGTGGAGTATGGCCACTCATATAATGAACTGCTCCAATCAGTTCACTGTCTTCCACCATCCTGAGCCCTGCACTTTGCGTAACTGTATACTTCTTTCTTCAATCTACAATCCCATTTCCCCCAAGTGACTTGGCTCCCATATTGGCAAAGCCAAAGGATTTGCCTCTTTTTGGTTTATTATTGTGGCAAAATGACCAAAATATTTCAATTAATCTATTTTATATATTGAAAAAGTACAGGTCTTTTGTTCTTTGCCTGAATGACCATGTGTTCAGCTCACCTTGGATTTCCAGTCTCAAGGAATCACTTGCAAAGACTTCTCTAGTCTAAGCATTCCATCTCCTAGGGGTGTGCACTCTCAGCCCCAACACCCAGTTGTCTCCCCAACACTCATGCATCTCAGCTCTCTCTAGGAGAACACAGAATGTCAGGATTGACCACCTCTACTACCTGCTCCTCAGCAGCTTTGTAATCTTTTCTGAGAGTCTGGCACCTTCAGAGAGATTCCCTACATGTGCTCTCTCAAAGGGTCACAGCTATAAAGGAAGTTTGATCATCTCAGGACCAAGACTCGGAAGACCTTGTATCTTGACACTCATCCTTTGCAGCCACGATCCAGTCTTTTAACTTCTCTAGGTTTGCTTCCTAACCTGTTCTGCAGCAAAACAGATTAGGATTAGATAAAACCATGGACATGGACATGCAGGGAGAAATCAAAAGTACCAGGCCTTTGCGAGTTCATATTACTGCTGGGGTTGCCAGTCCTGCCTGCAGTTTACTGATGCTGGGACGACAAAATGACGAAACAGATATGAAAGTGCCCAGAATGGAGTTATGAGCACAGTGCCAGTCAAGGGTGTAGAACGGGAAACTTCTATATTACCACGAGTGAGGGGAAGTGAAGTTTCCTTATAGTGATTGGGCGGGTAACCCACAGAATGCATTTGGTACTCCCTGGAACCATGGTTGACACCTGCTGTCACTTCTCACACCCCTAACTGGAAAGAGTTGAGTCCTAAAATAGTATCACTTTTATAAAAACCATTGGGTATGTGGGTCGAGGGCAGGGAAATTATCACGTTATCGGAACTGAGGGATCACATTTTGAATAGAGTGTCAGAATGACCTGTTAATTCTTACTTCATTTATCTAAATGAAGTTCACGTCCTGACTCCATGTTACCTATCACACCTCTTCCCATTACAATTTGGATGCTTGTTAAACGAGTGTTTGTTTAACACCTCCTGTGTACACAGATACAAGCATAACATGGATTCTGCATCAAGGAGTTCGCTTTCCAGTGGGGGAAGCAGCCAAATAGATATGTTACAGGTGATATGATGGAAGTAGCTCAGGAGCTGTAGGAACATGGAGGGAGATGCAGAAGTCAGTTGGAAGAGAGGTCAGGAGAGGTTCTCTAGAGAAGATGAACACTTTTTTATTGTGTATTCAAGATGCATTTGTTATTCTTTCTAGACTATTACTTAGAAATGGCCTCAATGTACAAATCTTGGAGACCACTGATTTAGCTAAATATATTGGCACAAGCCCTTTGTACTCTTGGTGTGGAATTTTACTAATGTGAACACAATATTATTGTTGGGACATTCATGAACAAAACATTTTGTCTCCATGACCCAAAGATCAAATCAAGGCTAGGAAGCAAAATTCAATGGCCAAACTCATTATGTGGCTCTATGCAGACTCATCACCCATTCTTATCTATTATCATTCTCATAATGCCTTAGAGGAAGGATCTACAAAATCTCTCCACAACTTGAAGATCACTACACCCCACTCATTTAGATGGAGATCTCCATGTCAAAGGCTCTTTCTTAGCATACAGTGGGATCTAGCCTTGACTTGGAACTATCAATCTACAGCCAAGGGATGGCTTTCTTCATTCTTTGGGCTCTCTGACATTTTGTTTCTACTTCTAATGTGACACTTACTTTATTCCATCTCATGAGATAGTTATTTTTGTCACTGTCGACACCATCACTAGACTAACAATTTTTTGATGGGAGGGATGGGGCTTCCTTCCTCTCTGCCTTCCCCGACAAAAAGCAGATGACATAAATTGGATTCAGTATAAATAGCATGGATAACAAAGCC